AATATATACTTTGCAGAGGGTTTTCTGTGTCATTTTTCTCTTCCATTGCAATGCTCAACAACTCTGCCTATAAGGGAGAAATTACAGGGGTAGCTTTTTACAGAAGTGGAAGTCCCCTAGAGACTTATCATTTGTCTGTATCATTCCTGAATTAAACTATGTGTAATTGGCTTCAGACACAAGTACAATGGGTTCAGCAGCAATCTCACCATTTGGCTGCAGACTAGGATTAGAAGGTTTCCCTCTACTGACCTTTTGTCCCTGGCTACCTGTCAAATCCCTAGCCTTTCTCTCTTCCCTTTTCCCTCTCGATGTCTTTCCTTCTCAGAAACTGAGATGTATACAAGTGAATCTGGGCTGCTGGCGAGAAGCAAAAAAAGGTGGAGGAACCCTGTGTTTTTCAGAAAAAAAATGTGTGTGGAAGGAAATAGAAGAAAGTACTGCATGTTTGAAGGGACATGAGGAAGATCTGCCTTTAATAATATGAAAATAGAAGACACATCTGTATAGTCTCCAAAGTCCCTATGCTTTCCAAGGGCTCCTTTAACCACTGTGGTGCAGTTTGGGTACGTGCATACACTGATCTTTCAGTAAAGCAGCACCTCAGATATTCCAGTGGTCCTACAGTGCCTGGCTGAGCTTGTCTTCATCACTAAAGAAAAGCTTGATCTGAAGGATCCTACATCATGTGCAGAATAAGCTAATACATGCAGTCTCATGAAAACCCACACACTTCTATCCCAGTATAGGAACTTTTATATCCTATAGACCTGCACTGGGAAACTTGTAACCTACTTTCATTTTTTATTCTGCAAAATACAGCACAAAAAACTCAGGTCAGAATAAAGCATATCCAGTAGGTTACACTGAGTCTCATAACAGCTACTTTAACACTTTGTTTTTGCAAATCTTTGAAAGGCTTTTTATGATCTCAAAGCAAGGCAGGAAATTCAAAAGCCACAGTGTTGCTGCAGTGAGGATTTTCTACCTTCCTATCAGTTCTGATTACATGGTGTCTCAAAACAGGTGCTTTCCTTCTCAGAAGCCATGTAAGTTGCGAAAGACCTGGAAAATAAGTGTACCAAGCAGCTGCTTCTGTTGTTGAAAACTCACAGATTCACTTACAGTAATTTCTACTTGATTCTGTCTATGCTCTGCTGGAAGAAAAGCTAGGGAAAGGCGCTGTCTTGCATGCTAAAATCTTTTCTATATCTTATTTACTCTGATATGAAATTATTATGAAACACTCGTCTTTGTCAGAAACAAAAATTTAAATTAGATTTGAAAGTTGCCTTGATTTTTAACATTTTTATACGAAGGAATTCTTAGGTCTCTATTTGGGAGTGCAAATTTCATTCTTAAGTGCAGCTGAGTGCACATTATAAGCTTTCCCAGGATACTTTGCTCTTCCTACCTGCTTCCACTGGGTCTTTTGAATCCAAGTATCACATTCATAGCTTCTAAAAATCCTTCCTTTGGACTTTTGGTTTAATTCTTTTTTTTTTTTTCTTTAGTATATTAAAAGTTTGATTATTTTTTTAAATTGTATCAGTGTGTAGGACCAGTGAACAAAAAGCCCTATCGATTTACATTTGCAATTTAATTGTAAGATGGTTGTTCTCAAAGCTGCTTTAAACGTTTTCCCTTCGGCTGTGGAAAGCTATGGAAAGCTATGGAAAAATGACTACTGGATTACTGTTCTCTTATCCAAAATGAAATATTCCCTAAAGAAATATTGTCTCATGTTCAGAACACTGCATTTTATCATCTTGAGAGACAGACACCCAGTCTGTCTTCCAGCTTCTATTCTGAAAAGATGAGCTTTACGACTTAGTCACGGGGCTGGACTTCCTATTGTCCTAAACCCTACTCAGTCATTTACGTGAGTGCAATATGGATGCAGAGTGCTACCATACCAGAATGGTTGTGCCGTATTGGTCTGAATATAAGGTGAGTTTATAAAAGACCAAAGCAGGGGATGGTAGTGGAAACATTCTACTTCTTGTGTGTCTAGATTGAAACCATCTCCTGTATTCCACACTTCCTCTGTTACCCTCAGCAATGCCTAATTTAGGCAGAAGATATGAAAATAAAACTGCATCTTGCTCTCAAAAGGTTGCTGAAAATTCTTTACTGGGGATCAAGCTGCCAGGCAATCCATCAGCAAGGCAGGTAGGCTGTGGGATTCCTGTAGGGCAGATCCCCTTTGGGAAGAGTGGCAGGGGAGCAATGCCTAATATTTACTTTCTGTAGTAGAAATAATCATTTAATTTCACTACTTTTCTGTCGTTTCTATTATGAGCATTTCCAGTACTAGGGGGATGGGCAGTACATGGTAGGTTGCAGCTTTTAAGGGAAAATGTGGCCCCTAGTTTCTAGATCTGTGAGTGCAATAAATCATTTTATTCTTTTTCTTAAAGACTTGTTCACAAAAGGTTTTTAAAGAAGGCAACGTTGTGTCTACAGCAGAATAAAGCAAGCATAATCTTTAGTGAACTGTTAAGGTGTTACATTTAAGACGAAAAATAAACATCTCAATCATGCTGTCTTTCAGTGAAATGGAGTAAATAATCTTTTACTCTATGAATGAATAAAGATTGGTGTAGCTTTCCTTTGTTTTTCTATCTTGCCTAAATCTGTAGTATCCTATGCTAAAACAAGTTATACATACTCTTTTTTTTTTCCTTATGGATTTAATTAAAAAAAAAGATTCAAGAAACTGTTCTCTACAGACCTCTAAGTTTAATGCTGATGTTACTCTTTTATAAGGTTCATTCAAGATAAAAATGCATTTAAAAAGTTCTTCTGTGTTGCAGGTATTGGCAAAACATAATTCTAAAATATCAACAATCTTGAATTCGTGAGAAAGTAACATTCTAATATGATATTGTTTTAATCATTTAGAGTTTAATTATTAAAGAACAAAGTATTAAGGAAAACTCTTGAACACCAACCTTATTTTGTCTCCCACTACACTTTGAAAAAAAGATTTCTAAATAAGTGACCATTGCCAACCTGAGCCAGAGGGCAGCATTCACCACGTTATGGTACACTGCAACTGATGAATCTCAGCTACGGCTTAACTCCTCTTTCTCTGTATGGTACCAATAAATGTATTGAAAAATGAATTGCCTCATATGGCCTAATGCAGAATCGTTAAGTGTGTAAATGACATTGCCATTAGTATTCAGTTATAAATACATTTGAATTTTAAACTGAACATATGCTACTTCTCTGCTTGAAACCAGCAACTTTTGCTTTCAGAAATCATGCTGCAGATCCAGACAAGCAATAATAATAATACTTAGCCTTGAGAATGTCAAAGCTCAGAAAGGCAACAGTATCAATATCTCAATTTGATCCATTAGATACACATATTAAATAAGTTTCTTTGGTCCACACAGTGATCAAAACTGATACAAAAGTAAACTCCTGTGTCTTAGCTGTGAAGGTGATTTAGTGTCTTACTTAGTACCTTGAATATTAATTCCAAAATCGGATTATTTTTTTCGTGGTGTTTTTTTTTTTTTTTTTTTTTTTTTTTTCCCCTACAAAGCTGTTATTCTCTTTTTCCCTCCTTTGATTATATTTAAGATCATCTGTCTCAGATTAGAATCAAGTTCTTGTAGCCAATTTAGGCTAGAGAATTTCTTGAGCATTCATTTATTAGTAACTCCACTTTTGTGGTCCCTTCCCTCATGTCCCTCTCTTAGTGATTTTTTCTAATAAAATATTTTTCATCAGATCAGAAATGTTGGAAAGAACTGAAAGCATTTCTTGGTTCCCAGACACATTCAAAGTACCTTATTATTTATTAATTGTTATTATTATTTAAGACGGAACCACAAATAAGATAAACACATTTAAAAATAATAAAAATGAGTAATGAAACACTTGTCTGCTTCATTTGGCAAAGAATAAGTCTGAGGCTATTATCAAATACCAGGCATGAGTAGAAGAGAAAGTGAGAGAGAAGGAGGCGAATTTAATTATTATGTAGGGGTGGGGATGCTGTGCAACAATGGGTTTAGCCACAAAGTCAAATCCTGGAGTGCAACTGTGCTGACTCCAGGGGAAATTTTCTTATCTGCTTTACCTGGTAGAATCTAGCGCTTGCTGAGCTGATTTTGAGAGAACGCCTTCAGGTTTGAAAGAGGATTTCTGAAATGAAAACATGACCAGAAGTTCACAGATTATGATGTTGAGAGAGGTTTCACTGTGTTTTATTTCACAAAAAACAGCTAAAATTACTTTGAACCTATTTGCAGCTCACTGTTGACCATCACTTTGAAATTTAAGAAAAAAAAAAACATATTTCATGATTTTTTTTCTAACTCACACGTAAAACAATGGGGTCCCATGGGAAAGTGAGCCTGCTGCCTTTAAAGGAGCACATGCCACTGCAAGAAATAAAGCATGAAAGGAAGCAATGGTGTGCAAATCAAAATAAACCATTTACCTTTATCACTGACTATGTGCTTAGGGAAGAACAGACCATAGAGGAAGAACTGAGACCTTTCTTCAGTTTCTGAAGACAGCTACTTTCCCTCTAGATGAGAAAGAAATTCAGTTTTAATGATGGTAGCTGTAGCCTTCCACTGAATGACCTTAATTTTCGTGATCAATATAGGCAGGTGGCAACAATGCTTTCTCCAAGTAACTAATTGCTCAAGATTAAGAATCGATTGCTTTGTTTTATTAACTCTCTTCACTGCTGCTTGGGATTCTTCGCTTCTTCTCAGCTAACGGAATGAGTTCCTGGATTGGTCAGCTGTTTTTTCCTTGCTCCGTCTCACCCTTAAGGTTCACTGACCAAGGAAAAGGTCCACCCACATCATTCTCTTTGCCCAACAGACTTAAATTGATTTCTGGTTAGCAATATGATTGAGTTTACCTTGGTATTTTTTAGGGATTGTTTTTCTTGGTTAGTTTTTAATGCTTGTGTTTTCAATCCACTGTCACCTTGCACTCATTTGGTTTTGGTTTTATTCATCTTACAGGTGGCTGCACCCAAAGGACATAACTTCACCTGAAGCTGTAAGCAATGAGACCTAAGCTTAGGTAAGAGAATCTGAAAAGAAACCGGGATTCTACTGTGGGAGAGTTAAATTGGACTTTTTATTATTTTCTTTTATTCTTTTCTTAGAGCAATTATGATCAAGTTGAGATTAAGTTAGGCCCTTCTAAACTCCACATATGTATTTATCCACTAAATTAACTTGAATTATTTCTATTTTTGGCAATTTTCACTGCTGGTAATTAATGCAATGCCTACTGTAAGTTCTCTGAGCCTGCAAGTTAGCCCAGGACACAGGCTCAGATCCCAACATTGCAGTGTGACAATCCGCCACTTAAGCACTTGATTATACGTATGGTGACGACCCACATTGTGCCCTTTGTAAAAGTTTCAAGGAAACGTGAAATCCCACTGACTTGGCTGCCAATGGAACTTTGCCAGGTGGTGGGATGCATGAGGCAAGCGAGAGGGGTGGCTCCTAGTGCTGCTTGTGCACTAAGAGTAGCAATTAAACACACTGCTTTTGAGAGATAGGTCAGTAAGTTTGGTGTTAAGGAGCTGAAAAGAGTGTTGTTTGGGGCTGAAAAGCTCTGCAGAGGTTCCTAATTAACCTTTTTCTGTGCTCCCCAACCTACTTGGATGATTGTACTTACCTGGGTACTGTGCTAATTTTGCAAGTAGTTATTCTTTCCTCTGGCATGTTTATTCTGTATTCACCTCTCAGGCTGCATGGATGCAACTGAGTAACAATGAAGCTGCAGGGATTTTTCAGCGTGAATGAAATAATCTCTCCTGGTGTTCCATCAGTGGTCTTATTAAATAACTTTGATTTAAATACTGGTTTAGTAGTAAATGCAGGCAAATATTATAATGAAATTGAGCCTTACACATAAATGCATACTGCACTCATTTTGTGTGTCATGTGATGTCTGCACTCAACTGTAGTTTTGTAGTAATGAAGAGCAATCTCTGAGTCACTGGACAGGGACAACTGGACAGCAAGTGAGTTTAGGTGTAAATGTAGGCCTTGAATTCTTTCTGAAGAAGTTTTACAGTTTTGTGTAAGCTACATTAGTACTCTCTTTAGATTGCTTATTAATAGCATCTTGCTGTAATTTCATTTTCAATATATTTGAGTTTCCTTGTGTTAATAGAAGAAAAAGTGTCTTTACATAAGTTTATTTAGAGGCTCAAAGAATATGTATTAATTGCGTGCCAAGAAAGTAAATATTACAGCTGAAAACGAATTTGTAAAATTTTCAGAGTAGTTGACAATTGTATATAACCATTGCTTAGGAGATCGAGGCAATGTGATTTGTACTTCTTTTGTCTCTGCTATAAAATTTGGAGGAATAACAGCAATGTGTCTGATGGAATATCTACAGTGAAGTCATGCTACAAGCTATGTAAGGCAGTAAGAGATACACGTCAATTTAAAATAGAATAGTGAGTAATCACTTAGCTTACTTCTTTCCAACATTGTATGGATATGTAATGAAGATTCATCTTTTTGAAACAACTATTTGTCTTCAGGAAAATGTGTCTCTTATGTGCTTAAAGAGAGATTTACTCTGTAATGCATGAAAGCTAGATGCACAAATGAAATATTTGTTTAGAAACTCTTACGGTAATTGTAGAGATTCTACCTAATACTTTTAAAAGGAGTAAATATGACAAAGATTTTACACAGGTGATGGTTATCTAAAGGGCACATAACGTAGGCTCCAACTGCTTTTGTAATAGTTCAGTTCTGTACGTGAAATATGTTCTCTACTTAAGAAAAGAATGAGAATATGAAATATGTTGTGTCTCAGTGATTCTTTGGATTTTCATTCTGTTGATCAGAGTGGAGAAAGTCTTTTCATCCACCAGCCCTTTTCTTTTCTTTTCTTTTCTTTTTTTTTTTCAAATTCCCAGACTCGATACTTTGCATACTACGTGGGGAGGCTGTATACGATTGTATCTTGCTAGTGGAATAAAATATTATAATCCCATTGCATTGTCAGTGAGGTAAAGTACATGATAACTTTAGTTTTAGTTTATCAGCAGGGTGGCCTAGTACACTGAATTCCCTTCTTCTGGTTTTGGCTTATATTCTGATTCCTGAGAGACACAACAAAGGAAAATTATAACAGCAGCAGTCTTTTTCTTTTTTTAATCTTAACATGAATATTGTAACGCTGGAGTTGCTCAAGGGAAAGGACAGTGGTTCTGTGTATCTCCTGAGCAGCACTGGCATTACATACTGTAGCCTAATTCTATAGTGAAAGTTTGATCTTGTGTGGTGATAATTGTGAAAGTAGTAAAAACACATTTGATAGTCATTCACCTCTAATTTAGTTATAATTGTTACCATACTTAAAGATCTCCCTAACTCAAGTCTACTCTGGGTACATAACTACCATAACTTTTACTATTTTAGCTCTTGGAATGTGCCGTTCTGGACAACTCCTGTCAATTATTGTAAACATTTCCACAAAAGGGCAAAGAGTTCTGGATCTAATCTACAACATTTTTTTTCTTCAGTCCAAGAAGGGCAGCCAAACCACCATGAGATGGAGTATTTTTTCAGAAATAAGTCATAGACTTCTTCTGCACTTCCTGTATCTGGTAGGACTGCAATTGTCTCCTGTTTTGGCTTGGACAATCAGAAAGCAAACCCAAAGCATCAACTTTGTGTTATACTGCTCTGTATAGAAACAATTCCCTGCTACCAGTTAGGGGTTTAGCTCAGGTCATAGTGGTTAATTTTTGATGGAACCCCTTGTTAACACATCCACGGTACTTAACTAATAATAAGGAAATAAGCAAGATGACTGTCTGTTCTCAGTGCCCTCTTTTTCCCTGAGCTGCCGTGAAAGAAAAAATGTGAATTTTATAGGTAAGAAATGTATTCCCTCAGCTCTTTCTTGCACCTCTGAGGCAGAGGACTGAACAAATCATTGTGCAAAACCTTGCTGAGACATGCTCAAGAGGGCACAAGTACCCACACTAGAATCTCAGTCTAGGGCCCAGCATCTTTACTAGCAACTCAGGTTAAAAACCCTAAAGTTTGTGGTGGTTACAATCTCAAGATCTCATCCCTCGGAGCACTTGCCTTAAACATCATAGTGTCCTTCAGCGTTCACAGCACCAGCTGCTCCTCCATCCCAACCTCCCCCCTCCCGTAGAAGGAGCAGTGGGCCTGCTTCTGGAAAGGGCTTTAAAGATCAGCCTCACTGCAGTCCTGAAGTGGGATCCTGTGCCATTCTGAGGCCACTGAGCAGCAGCAAAACTATATTCCTGAGTCTATAATAGATGCAAATTGTGCAGATGAAGGAGAGGAAGCTCTAACAGCCGTTGAATGCAATCTGTGAAAACTACTGTTTCATTTATAGTGATGCTACCTAAGCATTTGCACTTAAAAGGAACAATAAAGAGGTGTCAGAACAATCTCAAGGCTGCAGAATTTAAACTGCAGCAAAGACATTTTGAGCCATATGAAATGTTGCCTGCATCTGCTTTTTCTGTTAGTTTTTGTTTTTACTGAAGACTGTTCTAGTTCTCCTTGTTTTATGACACTGAATGGTTCACTTGCTTTCAAAGACCCAAGATGCAAAGAAGTCGGGAAACAAATTAAGTCCAAACTGCAGTAACTGGTGAAAACTGCACAAAGTATGTCACAGCTCTTCTTTCTCTATTTAGTTTTGAAGTAGTTCTGCAATACAACTTTAGATGGTCGATTCATGAACTTGCCAGCCAACCTCTAGCAGATAGCTGTAGGGTTACTGTAATGTTTCAGTGTTTATCTTGCTTAAGGGACAAAGGGCCAATCCTCAGATGATGGAGTCTTTGTAGGTATGCGCATACGATTCTGAGGATCTGAGCTGCTGAGGATCTGAGCTGCTGTTGCTCTTTAATCTTCTGATTTGGAGATAGGAATTTGGCATAAGTGAGACACTGCAAACTGAAAGAAAAAAAAAATTGCAAAAGAAATACCTAATGGCTGTCAAACAACAAAAAGTTACTGATTAACAAAGAATACAGGGTTTACAATTAGTGCCCTGTTGAAAGCACAAAAAGCTGTGATTGTGAGTCTGATTATCTATGTTACCACTTAACAGCTGCAAATGTGAAAGCAGTGCGTGTCAAGGAAAACAAGGAAACAAGTATTCTGTGATATCACAACAGGTGTTTTAGGTGCACTAATTTTGCTCAGAAAGAGCAGATAACTTTTGGGAAGGAATAGTCTAAAAGGAGATAGTTTGTTCCTGTTGATACTTTCCTTATTTTTGAGGTAGTAGAACTATATGAACATTAGAGTAAGATTGGCTTTGTAGCTACAGCAGAATAAAATGCATCATAGCATTGGCTGTCATTTGGAATGTTTGAGAGACTTCATAGGGGATACTGTTACCTGATTTTTATTAATATAATTCATTTGAATACCATTAGTGTTCGGAAGACCTTATTGAGACTCATTCATAGTAATCTAGCCATGTACCAAAGATCTCACAGTTTAAATAGACAAGATAAGCAAATTGCAGGTAAATGTCCCTTAGCTGAAGACAATTCTGGCTGGCTAACTCCTTGTCCTGTATTAGTTTCTTTACCCTCTTCACTAAAATGAGAGTGTGCTGTTCTAATCTTTCAGAAAATTACAGCATAATTAATGATAGTAAAATGCTTTAAGCATTTTCTTACTGATATATCAGAAGTTCAAAGCGGTAGAATTTTTCATATAATATGGATTTGAACTGCATAAGTCTTTTGAATTGGTAACTTTTAGTAAGAAATGTATTTCCCAGGGAGATGGAGCAAAAGTATTTGTTTTAATAGTTCTCTCTGTGTGTGTCTGTACATGTGAGCGAACAAGAGATCATGCAGGGCAAAACATACCATAAATGCTGTAAAGTCTCATACAATTGTGTCAAGCAGTAAACCCAAATGAACTTGCAAAGTCATGCACTAGCTCAATTTTGGAAAGGAAAAGCTGGCTTTGAAGCCAACTAAATCAATCCCCAGTTCAAATTAAATTTGGAGTATCCTGTGAAGCTCCAATACACAGCTCCAATAACAATCAGCACTTAAGGTGCAGGCAAATAATGTTTCATTTAAAAGAAATTGAATGAAGATTACCGATAGAGAAAGTTTTTGGTGCTGTTTTGTCATTAAAGTCAAATTGTAGCATTATTGCCTTAATCCCATATGTCTCAATCATCTCCTACTCCTTCTGTCTCTTTAATGCATAAAAAGCCCCTTGCATGGTTGGTCTTGTGTCTTCATCTCATTAAAGTCTTGCCATGCAAATGTATCATAAGTGTTGCCTGAAGACTCCTGTCTCATGCAAAATTTAGTTTAAACTCTACTGGCATCAAATAATTTGTTATGCACAAACCTTCTGTTTGGTTTGCTGACATTCCTTCTTAGTTGGCTCTCATGGTGATTCATTATCTTGTGATATAGATTTCCAAGTATCATCTTTGTATTGATTTTTATATCTTTAATAACCACTCCACAGAAGATGGCTCCACTTGGTGTCATTGATCGCATCAAAAATTCAAGGCTTACAGAAATACTAGAGGGCTAATTGGTAGCAGAACATTTCAGACTTAATCTTAATGCAGTCTTAATCTTCTGCGCTAACCTTACTTGAAGATTTCCTTACTGAGGCTAAAGGGGAACTAGTGAATAACTGGAAATTACCTGGTGAGAGCAGGTAAGACCATGAAGACTGTAAATGTGGAAAACAGAGATAACAAAGATCAGGGTTTTTTTTTTTGTCTCTTTCACTCTACCCTAGTATCTTCCTAAAAGAAAAAGCAGTACATAATTTTCCTAGCTGTGCGATGAATGCAGGTTACATTGCTTATTGTGCAGCAGGCCAAATGTGATTGTGTTTCTGACTTCCATTAAATAAAACAATTGTCTGACAAGTTCAAAACTATGCTGTAGGTTTCAGTCTTTTTCAAAGAGCAGTGGTGAAAGATAGGCAACTTTAATCTTTAATTTCTGTGTTAAAAGGTCCGTATATGAGCACTTCTGACAGTCAGGTCTTGCCTAAGTGTGAATTTAGAGTACTTGTAAAGGTGGGCCAAAACAGCAATCTGTATATCCTTAGTCTGTTTAATTTATTCTAATGTGTTGTTTGAGGCTTTTATCCTTTGTTACAGACTTTCAGCAATGTGATCTATCAGTGACAAGGAGGTGATATGTGTATCCATACTTTTTCATGACTGTATTTGTGACACTTTTTCACTAAGTTATTATACAGGATTTCTGAATTATTCTAAAACTTCAAATATCTGAAAATATACACTAAGACACCAGGGATGGTTTCTATAGAGAATCTGGTCATAGACAAAGGATGTGTAGAGACAGCAACATGTTAAAACTAGAAAAGATAATTTACCAAAAAAAACGCCAACGTAAATTGTTAAAAAGCTGTTTTTATTAAAAAAAAAAAAAAAAGAAAAAAAGAAAAAAAGAAAAAGTGTCTCCCAACAGCCGCATGGTCTTTGGATTAAACATAGCAAGGCAGATTGTCCAGCTAGTATTAGGAGTATCAATCAGGGCTACTCAATCAATTCTTGCCAGTAAAAGGCACTGAGACAGCACCAAGTCTGCTAGTTCAGTCAGGCACTGCATGCCATCTGTGCAATGGGAACTGCCTAATATGCTTCCTAAAAGACAAGAACAGTTAAAAACATGGGATCTTCCATAGGAATGTGAGGTATATTACCTGTCTGGGACATTGGTGCCAATAGGAATAAGCTATATTCATAGACTAGGCTGGAATACTCTTAGTGACTTTTTGAAAAATCTCTGCTTGTGTCTTTGTCCGTACAAAGTCTGTGTGGTAAGC